TTCTGTGAAAGACTTTGGGTGCGGGTGCAATACCAAAGGGCATGTGAAGAAAACAGGGTCTGCCAAACGTCTATTAAATGTACACAGCTTTGCACTTTCTTCATGCAGTTTAATCTGATAAAACCCGTTAGACACATCCAAATTTGAAACGGATTTTGCTCCTGCCATTGCACTAGTTACGTCTGAATTGGTTGGGAGTTTGTAGTGCTCTCTCTTCAGCCACTTGTTTAGATCTTTTGGGTCAATGCAGAGTCTTAAATCTCAATTTTTCTTTTGTGGAATAACAAGTGAATTGACCCAGTCTGTAGGTTCTTCAACTTTTCTCACAGTTCTTTTGTCTGTGAGTGATTCAAGTTCTTATCTCTGTCTTTCTTTCAGCTGTATTTTATATTTGGTTGGTAGACATCTTACACCATGAAACACATCCTTGAATTCAGCCATGATCTCTGCTGGTGAGCCTCGATCTTTGTCTTCTTACTTCTCTTTGTTGCCTCTAGGTGTCACTATAGGGTGCAATCGATGACATGAACTCTTAACAAGTCCTAGTCTTTCACTTGCTTTCAGTCCTAGAATAGCTTGTCTGTCTTTTTCAGCCAGAACAAACAGTGTGCAGAGTCATTTTCCTGAAAGAGTTACTTTAAACTCTCCTTTGGTAGGGATTGGTTGGTTGGTGAAAGCTCTCAGCTTCCTATGTTTCACTGTGGGCTTTTTTACTGATTTTTCATTGACAGTATACTTGTGCAAGTGTATCTATTGTCATTGGGACAGTAACTCCATTTATGTACAAATCTGCTACCCACTCATCCTCAACGTCACTTGTGTGGAGCGTTAATGTTTCCACATACGATGGTTCATCTTCCTCCCTGTATGTTTCTGACATAAACTGTCCCATAGCATGTCCTCTTTCTTCATATAGCACCATTTAGCATAATGACAATCTTTCCCAGATGCAGGTCATTCTTTTGGAGCATACTTTACAATACTCTTTTTTCATCAACCACTCCTGGTATCATGTATTGAGTTGACTCTCACACTGAGCGCCATTTTTTTATATCCAACTTTATTGAACACAGTCTGTTTGACACTAGATCTACTTGTGGAGATCTTAACGCCTCCTTGTGGCCAACTCTTAATCAGTACAGCAGAGACTGACTACTGTCGGGGGAGAGACGCATGGCGTAATTACTCTTATGTAGGAAAATGCTAATATGGGAGCACTGCCGGGTCAGAGGGGTCAAATATTTTACAGGCCAAAACGAGAAACCTGACAGGTACGTTTATATCCTTTTGAGCGGTGCCAGTCTAATTCTTTGTTAGAAACAAACTTTTTGGTTCAATTAAATACATTTTATTGCAAAATCTTCCAGTAGTATGAATAATTTAATGACTTAAATTTAGTGTAACAGAGAATCGGCTAAGGGCAGCAAACGCCTGTCACAGTCACCAAGTCAAATTAAGACAATTATTAATGGAATTTAAGACCTAAGTGTCCACAACTTCGTCCAGCCAGCTGGTCAGACTTAGCACTTACCAATGATAGCCGCAAAAGTGCTAGCTGACTAAATAGCAAGGGTATGTATGCAGTGAGTTAGCAGTAGCTTCAACCACCTCAAGTCATAAAAAGTATGAGGGTGACTCAAACTTTTGCCTTACAGAAAATGCCACCAGAAAAAGTAATACATAGTTGAGCATGTGACAAAACTTAGGCATATTTAATATATATAAATAAAAGACACTTAACACTTAAAGCCTAAAGAAATCTTCATGGAAACAGATTTTTTTATTCTGACTCTGGTCATTTTATTTACATGTTATACATATACAAAACCAGCTCTTTTTTTTAAAATAAGAACAAGACTGCAAAGCCAGAACAATAGCAAAAATTTGAAGTAACCATAAACTCTTCCATAAAGAGTGCCCGTGCTAGATTTTCTCACTGCCACCTATGGAATATGATCCAGTTAAAACACTTAATACAGTCTAGAATTAGCTGAAACATCTGTGTACAGGTTCTCCAAAACATTGTTGAAATACGGTATCAAAGACGCAAAACACAACATCTGTGAGAAAGCAGGTTGAAACCAAGTAGTTACTGCATAAAGAATATCCAACATAGTATGAGTGTATATACTGTACATTTATATATTAATATATATACTAACACTGTAGACAGTCACAAAAAGAAGACTACCAAGGTCCTCCCATACATACAAAGACTAAAGTGACCCATTCACATTTAACAAGAATATCCAAAGATGCCTTAAAATAGCATACAAAAAAAGTCACCAAAAATAGATGTCATGTGGAGCTTTTACTGGATTTCCCTACTGTTAAATAAACCATATGGACTGGAGCATGTATACCACATCAAGTGTACACTGAGAAGGCATGTCCTATATGTAATCAAGAGATTTTCAAAACATTGCACATAAAAAGGGATAATGTACAGAATAAAAGAGGGCATGCTGTCCATATCAGAGCTACACAGGCTGAAGAGTCATAAGGCCTCGCTACCAACTCAACACATGCTCTCTGTCACTTCACAGAACGATATGAACATGCAAACTTTCAAAAAAGAAAATGCTTCGGAGCTGAAGAGAACCAGTTGCTCAGCAACAGCCGTGCTCCTTGTTTCACAGATCAAAAAAAAATCAGGGGGTTTCTGCTTGTGCGGCACACTTTCAGTCACATTTGATTGAAACAAAAAAGAATCTTATATTCCTTTGGACTATATATATATATATATATATATATATATATATATATATATATATATATATAAAATTCCAAAGAAAGTTTGAAACAACACCAGTCCATTTATTGCACGCCATCGGTTCACAAAAATATTTTGGGCACTTTTGCGTTTCAACAATCAGCAGCATTTCATCATTTAAAACAACAAAATGTTACAGACACAAAGCACAACAACTGAAAAGCATGACATAGAAGGAGGATAGAAAACAGTTTTTTTTACATTGTAATATTGTGCAATTAGAGAAAATAGGTCCATTTACTAAGGCTAGCCTCTTAAATGCACAACATCATACAGTGTTTTAAGGGCCACAACAGCAGGACCCCTATGCTGAACAGCATGAACTACTTAGAATGATTATCTTTTTCTTCCATCATGTTCAACAACTGATTGCCATGGCAAATCCCCAATGAGACAGAGAACATTTGGTCCCGTTTTTAAAAAAAATTATTTCTACCCGGATATAAAGGGCAAATGGCACATTTAAAACAAACAACAAAAAAAGGGACTGTGAGGATGGCACAAGGTACCACCAGTTTGACTGGTTCAGGATGTGGCCATATAACAGCACTATTGAAGCCAACCTCTACAATCAACCCTGTATGTGAGCACCTGTGTTCTACACTGAATGGACTAATCCCAAAACAAGGAGGAGAAACAGAGTCACTGTCAGTAGCATTGAATTCATGGAGAATCACCGTGGCGGTCATCGTCTCCTCCAGACTCAGGCACCGCGACCCACATGAGCAGGACAGCAACTCCAAAAAACACAAACTGTTATAAAACCAGCTCCGGCTTTATGTACTCAGTAATCACATCCACACATTAGCATGCACCAGCTGCTCCATAAACACAATAGATGCACAGGGTCAGAAACTCAAAATTCCAACCTTTCACTGGTCAGTGAACACACCAAACCCAAGAGCTACCAGGTTGCACTAAAGACAAAGGAAGCAGCGACTATGGAGAGTGACCTATGAAGTAATTATTTAATTAATTTATACAAAAAGGAAATAAATAAAGCAATGCACTAAACAGTTATATAAAATTTAAGTTAAAAAAATGTAACATTGTCCTTGATGAAATGCACAAATATCAGGATGCAAAAAGCATTAGGGTGGCCCTTGTTTAAAAATAAGGTACATTACCCTCTTATGCTTTTTAGAAAATACCAATTGTTTTATATATTGATCCATCCATTATCTTACAACCTTGTCCCTAGCGGGGTGAGGAAGGGTGCTGGTGCCCATCTCCAGCGGTCAGTTAGCAAGAGACAGGGCACACCCTGGACAGGTCACCAGGGCAACACAGAAACAGACAAAACAATCATGTACAATCATCTCAACCTTTAATTGAATTTAGACACACCAATTAACCTGACAGCCATGTTTTTGAACTGTGGGAGGAAACCAGAGTACCCAGAGAGAACCCACCATGCACAGGGAGAACATGGAACCTCCATGCAGAAAGACTCCGGGCCGGGAATCGAACCCAGAACCTTCTTGCTGCAAGGCAACAGCTCTACCGACTGCACACCTGTGCAGCCTGATTTTATACAATTAACTTTTATTTAACCAAATTTTACACAATCTTAATGGAAGGCATGCTATAAAAAGTTGTTTCTCTTCCAGCTGTTTTTAGAGGAACGAAAACATGGAACTCACTTCTTTCATCCGTTATAAATGGAACAAATGCTGAAGCTTTTTGAACAGCCCTGTTTAATTATTTTACTACATAAAGTGTTATAACGGCACATTTATTATGTTGAATGTGTATAATTGTTTTTGTAATAAATGCTTTTTCTAAATCATGTGGACCCCAGGAAGGCTAGCCAGTGTTACAGCAATGGATAATGAGGATCCTAAAAAAACAAACTTAATTTGAATTCATTGGAGGCCCCGACGTCTGATTGGCTGCTTCAAGCAACAAATTAAGACCTTCTTCAATGTTAGTTATATGACTGTTAGGTCAATATCCATCCATCCATTTTCTGAACACCCTTGTCCCTCAGTGGGGTCGGGAGGGGTGCTGGTGCCTATCTCCAGCTAACGTTCCGGGCGAGAGGCGGGGTACATCCTGGACAGGTCGCCAGTCTGTCGCAGGGCAACACAGATGTGAGGTCAATATCTTCAACACTATTAAATTTAAGCCCATATAATTCATTCATGTTTAATTATATAGGCATGTATTTCCAGTTTTATTAAATTAATGGCAGATTTAAATTATTTCATAAGTTATTTATATATTGTAATTTGGCACTCATAACTATATTATATGGAACATACTGAATTCAGAAATATTTGAACTCTTTTTATAATTTCAGTCAGTGTTGGGTCTGTTCTATTTTAACGATGCCAACTGCTCAAGCCATATAAGACCCTAAAGTCATTTTAAAATGAATAATATGTTTTAAAATAAAATAGCTAAACAGTGACAGCTCTCTCTCACAGAGAAATCAGCTCTTCTAAGTAAAACAACAAACAACAAAACATGGCCGTTTACAGCAGGACTTATAGTAAAACAAGATTCTAAATGCTGTTCTTACAGAAAAAAAACAAATAGGAAAAATTTGTTTCAGAGGGTTGAAATCTGACGACAAAAACTGCAAATCAAATAAGAGACATTCATCCGCTCAGTGCTTCTCTATTCCTAAAGCAAGAACAGCTCTGATCACTTCTTGCTTACAGTAAATCCCAGCAGCTGCAATGATAAAAATGAATCCTACATACTGCAGTTAATTGCCCACAAAAGCATCAGACTACAAGAAGGAAATGAAGACATCTTCTCTTTTTCCATATTGTAAATAGATGACTGATGTTGAAATAGTCTACTTGAACTTGGAGGCAATACTTGATTGCAGAACCACACAGGTGTTCCTAATAATGTGTCTAAAATGAGGTTCTTGACCGGTGCCACTTTATCCTTCCCAACATTCATTTCTTTCCCATGAATGAACATTTTCTTACAAATGTAATCATTGTGTATTAGTTTATCTTTGCATCTTGCTAGTTACCCGTCTTCAGTGATTTGAAGAAATTCCTGATCATAGAAATCTTCAAATCTAACTTATGAATTAACATATAACAAAGTCATTTCTGAAGATTTCACATTGGACCAGTTTAAGCTTATGAAAAATTTATTTTTGAGCCCTCATCCAAACCAAAAACAACAGCCTCAAAACCGCATGTACTTATAGTTGGACTATAAATAGATAACTTGTTAACTGCTGCATGGTGAGTTATCTGCTCATCACACAGAAAGTGGATCATTTTTGAGAGAAAAAAAATCCAGAAATGCAGAAATATAAAATGTCAAAGAGCACAGAGACTTGCAACTGTGAAATTGATCTACTGAAAACATTTTTTTTGTCTCCGATTAAGATAAAATAAACAAACAAACAAAAAATACCTGTCATGTTTTACCTAATTGGAACCATTACTCAAACGCATTATGCTAACATCATTAGCAATGTATCGACTGATAATCAAGCAACTGCAAACAACACTGACAAAAAAAGTGGCTGAGCTTCAGTTGGGGTAAAATAATGAGTGATTACATATTTAGGGTGAACTTGGTGACACATACCTGCAGCTGGAAATGGGTATGAGCTCGTTACTGGGATCAATAAGTGCACAACGGCTAGCAAAAGCTAGCTAACATGTTCATCATGCTGCTTTCAATGGATCAAAATTAAACTGTGACACTGAATGAATGTTACAGATAAAATATAGCTGAAGTAATCCATATTCTGTTATTTTAAAAGTCGTAGGGGATGTTGCTGTTCCTTCACAATAAAACCAATTTGATCAGATCACAGACATTTGGTTCTAATTCTCCATGTGAATATCAGGATTTTTTTTTACGCCATGAAAATCCCACACAACACCATGAAGTAACCTTAAACTGTCCATCTTCTGTTTGACCCTTAAGGGCCAAAAACACTTATGCAAACTGATGTAGAAACAGAGAATTTTGCTTTTGAGTAGAACCAGAGGTGGATTTCACAACAGTGTTCACTGACAAGTCAAACTGTGGAACCAGTCAAAAAAGTGTTTCCACTGCACAGATAACTTTAGGGAATACTTTGTCAATACAGTTCAAGTTTGAAACATTTAAAAAAGGAAATGCACTGTGTTCATACTGGTCATAGAAATGCACATACACACACATCTTACACATCATAGAACAACACTCAACATACACAGCATTCATATAGAAGTACAGTACAAGCTATTGCAGGATAGATTAATATTAACATGTAATATTTGCCAATAGCAACGGCACCAAATGAGTAACACAGTTTCTGCCCATACAAACTAGCATTACTATTACAAATGTAATACAATAACTATTTTAGCTCAGTTTGCAAAGACTTGATTTGTCACTTCATTTCTCCTACATGACTTTGCTAAAGTGTGAACTCTCAGGCACTTTCTAAAAGTAGAGCAAGGCTTGGAACGGACAGACCTCCAATTGGCTGACACTTCACTGACTTGAGACAGTGCTGCATTCAAGTCATATGGGAAACAAAACAGGCTTGTTAAAACTGCTAAAATACTGCTGGCTTTCAGGGAGCAAGGAGGCTGTGAGGTCCGGATTCTCCAGCCAATGAACTAGTGTGAAATCTGAAGAAGTGCTGCAGTTTCTGCATGTAAAACAATGCCATTAAATCAACAGCATCTTTTGAAAACTCTGTAGCGTTTCCATGGTTCCACATGATAAGAGCTGCATGTGTGGATCTCCGAGTTCTTTCAGTCTTCAGATCATTTAGACTTATATTCCCATATAACCTGAGTGCAAAATACAACATCAGGGGCAGGAAGAAGACTTGGATCACTCGATGGTAATGGAAGCCACCTCCTTAGGCTGCTCCTCTCCAAACTCCTCTGGGGAACTGCCCCCGACACCGTGACTCATCTTATTCTCCGTCATGACTGCGGTTTCATCGGCGTCCGTCTTATTGGAGGTTGGGGCTTCCAGGGGGTCCAGGGGCTCAGGCGAAAGTAAGCCGGAGGAACTTTCACAGTTCTGTGTGGAAGAGGAGACCTGGGAGATGACTGGCATTTGGACTGAGGAAGAGGACGAGGCAGTGGTGGTGGCGGCGACAGTGGAGGTGCTGCCCAGGTAAACTGGGTGATGTTGGGACTCCTCCAGCTCATACGGAACTCCCAGTGCCTCCTCCTCCTCCTGTACCTGGCTCAGGTAGTCGGGCACGAGGAAATCACTGAAAGGACCAAGAGAACATGTGACCTTGCTGTCTTCTCATTCTTACCTCGGCACAAACAGCAGATGCAATCTGGAAATTCCACCAATAAAAGTAAATGAGATTGTTAGTTTTAATGAAAATTAGCCTCTAATGCCTGGTTCACACAGCAAGATTTTCCCTCTTCGGACAATTTTAAGGATACCCCAATAATCAGGATGGCTCTTAAGATAATCCTAACCTGCAGTCTCACAAGTAACAAGTTGAACATGCTAGCCTAAATATTTTGTAATTTTCCTATTAACTACTAAATTGCTATTTGTGATGCATAAAAACTCAAAATAACTTCTAAAATTGTATATCTTCCCTTATATTTTTCACCCAAGGAAGTCACCACTTTTTCACCTGCTGGGTCGATGATGTGTTTTGTGTCCGTTCTGTACTTGAAACTACAGAGTAAACACAGGAAGGCTAACTTTACCTGAGCTGCTGTTTATCATTCAGTACCTACTGCCAACAGAACTGAATGTGAAACCACAGACCTGACACTGGACTGAAGACTGGACCCCAAATAGGTGTTACCTAACGAAAGATCAGACCGGACACAGATCTCCTTACCGGATCACACAGACTGACCAGAGCTACGTGTCATTCAATGTTTTATTTATGAAGCTGAGGGCAGCAGCAGCAAGCACCAGCTTCTTCAGCCAACTCCCACCACTTCCTCCATTTGGTCCTACTCGTCTTCATCGCCTCTTGTGATTTCTACATTGCCATTTCAGTGAGCTCTGGTTCAATTTGAAAAGGCCTAAAGATGTTACTCATCGCTGTTTACATTGGACAGAGCTAGTGCAATCGAACCCATCGTCTGCCTAATAGCATGATTTCCTGGACATAGGCAATTATGCTATTAGGACTTAGCAAAATTGTCTAAGTCCTAATTTTCAAAACAGGACTTAGACAATGACGAATGTCATTTACACCGAATGCATTACAGTGTAAACAACATGGCGACATCCATGTGACGATATTTTATTTTAATTTCTAAAAACCAAACAGTTTTTTTTATTACTGTATTGTCTTTACATCCAAAATAAATATTTCTCAAATAAAGTCATTTGGACCCCACCAGTTTTTTTTACCCTGTCCACACTCTGGCAGGGTGGCACTAACCTCATGCATGCTTTCACTAGTTTTTTTGTGTTGTTTCAAGAATCAACAGTCTGACGGGACATTCCTCTCCCCTTACCACCACCATCAGCCCCTGTTTCTGCTGAGCGTCACCCTAAGACCACGGCAATGTTAAGAGATCTTCCTCCTGCTGAGTGTGGAATGTTAACAGATCTGGTCCATTCAGGAATGCTCACGTTTAAATCAGGGATATTCAACATGCTGGATCATCTTATCCCGATATCGCAGCGTGTGTGGTTTTCCCTTAAGAAAAACGACAACAACTTGTTGAATGTGACGTTTAGCCAATTAGAACCAAAAATTATAGAAACACAAGAGGAGAATCGACAATACAAGAAAGACAAAATATCTGCCGTGGCTACTTGAAAGTCTGGAGGACGTTACATACATCTTTGTATTGTTTTTTTCTCTGTTAAATGTAGTCCACAAGCTATCGCTGTTGCTTCTTCCCAATCGGCCATGTTGGTTTACACTGAACTCACGTTTGGTCCTGTGAGGTTTTGTAAGATTTCCCATCTGACAGCTGAATGTGGGGGAGTGAAATCTGAAGAACCACATAAACTTATTGTCCTTAAATGTTTTAGCATCAGAAATGTGGGTCTTTCAGGTTTTAAAAATGGGCTGATAATTAGAAAATGTTGCTATGTGAACCAGACATAATCAGAGCAGAGAGAATTTATTGCAGTAGAGCCCATTGATTACACTGTTTGACAGGATTAGTAATGGATCATTTCAGGCACAACATATGGGTTGGTAAATTTACTCCAAAAACATGACAATACATCACAACTTTATAATCAACATAATATTAATATAATAAAGACCTGCCTGATGTGGAGTATTTCTTGACACTTTGAAAACACACTTTGTTCAGTTCAGAGATGACAAAAACCACAGCCAGAGTTTTGGGTTAACAAACAAAACCATACAGGTTGTGGTTATAAAACAAGATTACTAATCCTCATCACCATTATACTTTACCCTGACAATAATAAACAATTTGATGTTGCCCATCTCTGCTGTAAACTTATGGCCACAATATTACTGTGATGTTGTGCAGCCACATTATAAATAGACTTTTAATCTATTAGTGATTATCTGTAGCTGGTGTGATAATCAAATTAAATAAATTTATCTAACCTTGCTAAAGTTTTGGCAGTATAACTAAGACACAACATTATAGAGGAGGTCAGAAAGCAAAAGCGTTCCAATTCACTTGACTTTTGCCAAGAATCTTTAGACAGCTTGGGATATTGGTGGAGCAGGAGCGCCTTGTTTCCAGCAGCTGACTGCTGGTTTCTACCTAAAAGCTCAGCTAAAGCCACAATGTAACAACAACAGTCACAATGACGCTAAAATGGAAGTTAGGAAAAACTTGCTACAATAACTTTGGTTGTGGCCTATCCATTTCGTTGACTCTTCTGTTTTCACTAACAAGAAGCTCCAGACTAACAAAGACATGAATAACAATGTGAAAGCCTGTGTTTGCTCAGTTTCAGTGTAACAGCTGCCCCTTTGAGAAATTCCTAACATTGTTCTCATGTTTGAAATCCCTTTAAAAAAAACACACAGCAGCTGGTGCCTCATTGGAAAACATGGAATACTGTTTCACATATGGATTATGCCCATTTCATCTGCCCAATGCTACAACTTTTTGTTGGTCCCATGGCACTGGGACATTTTCATCTAAATGCTTTTAAAGTTTACAAAACACCTATTTTTTCTTATTATAGATCAGATTTAGGGTTAAATGGTATTGGAAATAGGTTTAGAAAAAGAATGCATTTGAAAAAAATACAGAAATTTTCAATGGGTGACTTGAATAGCATTTTATCTGACTTGACCACTTTATGTGAATCTTACATTTATGGGTTTTGCCCAAATTTGAGTTATTCTTATTGTTAGAGCTGTATATTAGTAAATATCGTGAGGACAATATCTGTTGCTAATATGCCTATTTTCTTCTTTCCATGACTTTGTCATCTTTAGGCTTTTGAGAAACATCATTAAGGTCAAGTATGATCCTCTGCTGCCATGAAACTGTTCACCCACCTAAGTATTACATTAGCATGGAAGCTGCACATTCACAACACTTGAATATATTTGCCAACAATTATTGCACTCTAAACAGTCCTTTGCGATGTGAATATTACACCCACTGATATTGTTATTGCAACGTTTTGGCTATATATTGTGCAGCCCTAATAAGATTCAATGAACACACAATTGTCTGTAAAACAGCATCACAGCATAATCTGATTCAATTGAATGTGCACTCAGTATTGGATCTCTAGTTTAGTTCAAACAAGTCCAATCACCTGGTTTAAAATGTACACCTGTACACATGTATACCTGATCAGTTTTGGATATTAAAGCAAAGTATCCAGATGAAATGGTTAAGTTCTGAACACATCTGACTCTGAGACGGGTCTGAAAATCTGCATCTACAGCACAATAAACACATTGTTTTTTATGTGAAGACGTAGAAAGGGAATTAAGAGTCCGCCTGAGCAGCCAGACAATTTTCCACACTTATGATCTCAGGCACAGACCTTCTACCATAAAACACTTGAGCAGTCAATGGCCCATATGAGTCCCGTCAACCTGTGAGGGCTTGAGTTGATTAAGAAGTGGAAAAGTCTGGGGGAGGGGGAGAAGAAAACGTCTGACTTCTTAAAGAAGTATTCTGACTATTATATTTTAAAGACTTTTTGTTTCTTTAAAACAAAAGCTGTCCGAGAAGTGAGTGCAAACTGAATGTTTATTTTTAATAAGTCCTCTCTGTGAAGACATAAAAATGAATACCTTGACTTTTGGGAAAAATGAACCACTTCTATTTCTTGAAAGACAACACAAGTGATGTAGAACCCACTTGTATTGCTAAAAAATATGGATTTAGTGTATTAAAAATATCCTGCCCTTTGAAAAGTTCACACAATTAGTAAATACTAATAATAGTGGGAAACCTGCCAGCCTGACTGATTCCAAAAGATCGGAAAATCAGCAGTTCAGATGCTGTATCGCTCATCAGATCAACCATTTAATTAGCCTAAGTTGAACTTTGGAGTTTATTAAATGGTTTTGTTTGGGAAGGTTTTGGGTAGAAGTGCAAAAAAGTGTGATGTCTTAATCGGCAGGACCTGGTTTAACATTATTTTACATACTCTGGGAACAAACTGTACCAAGAAGTGAAACTGATGAGCTCCTTTACGCACAGCGGCCTATTCGTTTTCTTGCTGCAGACGGAAATTGTGAGGTGATATACAGACCAGTCAATGGAAAACAAAGTGTAATACGTCTTCAGTGCAAATCCTTTTCATAAAACCTGAGCTCCACTTTTACATCCCTCTTCTGGGTTTTTAATCTTGTCATGAATCATTGATTTTTAATAGAAGGCAGTATTAAGAACTGTTGTTTATGTGATCATGATTAATTAACGTTATCAGTTTGTTTTTGTCATGGCAGATCAGGGTCAAGCCGAGGTTTGATGTGCAAATGAAAATTTCTTTAAATTGTAAAATTAACCTTTCTAAACAACTAAATTCCAACTAAAAAACATTAGACTTATCTGGAACAGCAAAAAACTGATTTAAGCAATCCAAAACTATTGTCCTAAAACAAGACTCAGGAACTGATGGTTTTAAAAAGAGTTATTACAGCACCTGTAAGGCAATAAGCATTAAAAATTGATTAAATACTGCAGCTTTTCCTCCTTAG